CTCTTTTTTTTTTTTTTTTTTTTTTTTTTGCTGTTGCATTTGTTTATATTTGGGGGTTTAAATGTGTTAATTATTCACCAATTAATGAAAATGTTTCTTGTCATTTATAACATGAAAAAATAAAGTGGGTCATTAAATAAATTTTATTCTTGGTCCCTATAATTTATTTACTTAACAAGATAAGAGACTATCAACATTAATCCTCAAAATAGAAACTTATAAATTCTATTTTATTTCTCATTTTTAAAACTTATAATTCGGTTCCTTTGAAAATAACATATGAGCGAATTTGGTCTTAAAAATATTTATTTAAGGCATATTGAACTAATATTTGCTTTCATTTCTTACATAGGCCGAGGCCGCTGAGCATAAGACTCGCCTATGGGCTAGACTCATGGTGAAATATCATCACATAAAAAAAATATATGAGCTTAATTTAATTTTTTTTCTTTTTTTTTGGGCTTCTACAATTGTAACCACTGAACATGCTATTATTTGGGGCTCGAGATTGGCAACATCCTTGATTGGTTTGGTCATTTGGAATTTTTTGTTACAACTGAAGTTCTACAGGAGGAAATGAGAGGTACAATATTACCAGCAAGGGTGGCAAAATAAGTTGATCTTGGGACAATCATAACTTATGTTCAGGATGATGTTGTAGTCTCATTTGAGTTTGAAATTTTTTCTTCTGGACAGGGATGTGATCGATCAATGTATCCAGACAGGTCGTATCCAAATAGTAGGTGAGCAAATTGAGATCTCCAAGAGGCATAGTTTCCTTCTCTATTGAGTTTGAAAGGAATCAAAGTAGCAGCATTGAGGGCAACATGTGTAGAGCTTTGTGATAGAATGTTATTCCCCACAATAGAAGTTGCTGAGGTAGTAAGAATTTTTAGCCATTTTGATTGGAAGATAAAATAAGAACAAGGTTTGGCCCAGAAACGTTTGTGCTTAAGAGTAGGTTTGCTTTGATACTATAAGTGATGCAACACAAGATATAGAAAATGGTATATCTCATTTATTCTGTAATAGCAGTATTTGTACAAATATTTAGCATGTGTTATTCCCATAATTAATCCCTATAATACCGGAGAAATTAAGTGCGTATTCCAGGAAAATATTTATAGTAATTTATCCTAAATTATTGTCTATCATCCTAGAATATTGCATATGATCATCACGTTCTATCAAAATCTATGCAAAAGAATTGTTGGAAAAAGTTTGAAAGAAGCTAGAAATAATAATTTGGTCATACTTTTTGTTCAGAGTTTTTGCAGTAAATTTCTAATGAAAGAAAAGAATCAATTTCTTCATATTTACTTTTAATTTTTCATTAATTCAATTCTCATAATTCAAAGTCAAAATTTAGTACTTTTTGCTATAGTTTCCATTTTTTGGTTTTCAATGGAACTCTGTTAATAAAGCAGAAAAAGGTTGCTCATTCCATTTAGACCGATTAAATACCTTAACAACACGTACGGTATCCTGCAGTGACAAGATTTGTAAAAAAAAAATAAAAATCTTATTTATTTTACACAAAATTCTGTAGAACTTCTCAAGTTCACATTGTTTAAATTGGATTTAATTTTAGTTTGCTTATGTTTAACTCATTTTTTAAACCTCGTGATTGTGTGAAGTGAATTTTTGAAGTGTATTTAAAAATCGGGAAAAATTATGAAGCAACATTAAAAAAAAAAAAAAAATGTTTAAAGAATTTTTTATTGAAAGTCATTGCTCGAGAAAACGATTTTGAAAAAATCAATTTCAAACAAGTATTGTTTATAAACATTCAATTCGATTTTTATTTTTTATGCATACAATTTGGAATACTCACAAATAATTTGTCAATAAATATAAATAAGCGGTGAATAGTGCTTATGAATATATTCAAAAATATAATTAAAAATTAATTTTAATCATATATAAATAATTCGTAAATTAGTCTAGTATCTAAGTATAAAATAACGAATAACCTATTTGTACATTTGTAAATTCATGTTGATATAGTGTGAAGTGTAAAAATTTGTCTCATTTATTATTTTAAGTATTGTTAAAATCAATAATAAGAATGTGTGCTTCACACATGACACATGGCCCTTGTTTGAACTACATTATTGGAATTAAAATGTATTTTTGAATAGTGTGTTACGCTCCAATTTGATACGCCTCGGAAGGCGCACCACCATATATTCCGACCTGATAAAAACCCGTTCGAAGTGTTTCCGAAGTGATATCAGCAATGCCTGCAACCTAGTAGCTAGCTACTAAGTACAAGCGATCCCTACTACTGACCTGACCCAAGCACCTCGCCCCCGAGGCCGAGGCCGGGGCCAAGTGGATCCCGATTAGAAGATTCGCCGTCAATTTCAAAAAGAGATTTGTTTCAAGATCCTTCCTGCACCTAAGGTTTAAATTGATTTGACGTCTCCATGAGGCTAGTTGATGTGACTTATCAATTTTATGTCAATTCAACTCAGAAGAAACAAACTGTCCGCCCATTCTACAGACGCGGCTGATTGACGCCTATGAGCGGATGTTTCATACCGTTAGATGTATACACGCGTTCCACATCCAACGGCTCATACCACCTATAAATACCCAAGGTCTGGCAAGAGGCAAAGGTAATGAAACTCTTACTACAGAGCACTCCATAACAAACTTATATATTTTCTCCTCCCCCTTATCATTGATTTGCACAACTCTTGGGTACTGTTCCGATCACTTAAACCTGACTTAACCGTCGGAGTGTATACGGCCGCCACCACCCTCGCTGGTTCTGACCGTGTGCGTCTGACCATTCGTTGATTGTGCGCAGGGAGGAATACGTGGAGTAACTCTCGGTTGGCCACGTGGAAGGACCAATTTTCGAAGTCAACAGATTGGCGCCGTCTGTGGAAATCACTTCCCATTCGAAGTTTTGCATTCTCCATCAAAGAAGTTACCGGAAAGCTAGCGACTAACCTTGAAAAGGGGACATTCTTGAAAAAGAACAAAGTCGAGTTACAATCCAAGTTCTCACTGCCCTTGGAAAAAAAGATAGGATGAGCTATAGCCATGAAGACGACAACCCCATGAGAGAGGCCTCTGAAGAAGAGGTACTCCATAACAATGTTACTTATTAGAGACCACATCACTGGC